TGACCTCAAGTTAGCAATAAACTTTGCTACTTGGAGCTCTTCAAAAGCTCTGAGTTACCTCACTCAATCTGTTAGGATGAGGTATGTCTGCTTTAGTGACACCAGCCTTAGTACATTCCTTGCAATATTTCCTCTACAAAACACAAACTCCTCAGTATGATTTTCACTGTTAATACAGCATTCTGTTTACATCAATTGGTTGGTGACAATCAGAGATTCCTGCCCTGGCATTTGCTGCCTCTGTCAGAAGCTGTGCAAGGAGATAACGATGCTCTGAGTCAGCACAACACAAGTACCAGCAGAGCTGCATAACAGGCAGGAGGAGTATAGGTCTTCGGAAATACCTTTTCTGGTTTTAAAATTTATTTTGCCCAAAAATACATTACCCAATTGAAAGGTTTTCTTCTGTAAATGAGAAAACAAACAAAAAAACCAACCACACTGAAGAGACCTCATGTGCTTTTTAGATTTGTCAGTCTACACACCCGTACCTCAGTTAAGGGCAGTCTGCCTTCCCTCACATATGGAAGGTGGAACATGCAACAGAGTGCAGCTTGTGCTAACTGCAAGTCCTGGGAGGCTGCACATGTGCTCTTCCACACAAGCTCTGCGTACTGCTAAAGACTCACCAGCACATCAGGCTTCATAAAAAAGCATCCAGTTTCAGAACGTGCTCTGGCTGCAGGAACATCACATACCTAGATTTTGTTTGGAGCTATTTACAGAACAGTGACTCACATTTGGGATTTGCGAGGAGCTCCGAGCAGAGATTCTGGGTCAAATAGCTACTGTTTAAAAAAAAAAAAAAAAAAAAGTTTCAGACTTAAGGACACAGTTATACCTGCTCCTGTGTCTGAGCATTTTCAGGATTGCAGCCTTTTGATTTTCAGTGATGCTGTGCACCCAGTTGGCATTTTAAGTGTGCAAAAGTATTTTGATCATCGATTACTGAATCTCAGGTGAAGGTCAGTAACCCTCAGTTGTGACAAAGTGATTATTTACAGTACTCAGATCCAACTGCAAGAAACATCTGACTTCAGCCATCCATGAAACCGAAACAGGCACATCCTGCTCCTAAAATACAGAAACCATTTTCAGCTACTGTCAAGTGACACATGATAAAAACATTAGCAGGAATTTCCTAATGAGTTGCTTATTTTTAATCACAATTATCCAGGCACTAATATATCAATAATAAAAAGTTAAAAGGTTAAGAAATAATGTACAGTTTAGCACAGAATGCAACATTTTAATAGAAGCACATAATTTTAATTTGCTTTTAAGTTTAAAACAATTCAAACAAATAAGTGGCTATATAAATACAGAGTAAATGCACATAGTTTACAGCCAATTACATGTATGCAAGAATAATAGCAAACCTCACATATGCATTAAAGGACTCTCCAGCTGAGATCTGTGAGGGTTTAGCTATCACTCATAGGGTATAATTAATTTCACATATGCAGGGTAGGCAGACTCTTAAATAGAAGAAAGGAAAACTTACATGACTAAGTCTTTACAGACAGAAAATTTAAAAAGTTACATTTACTGAGGCACGCTTCAGTGTTCAGCTTGTTTTCTGAATTTAAACATAGTTTAAACAGGAAGCAACATTTAGAAAGGATCTCCAATCTTTTTCTCTGGAAGCATTCCTTTAAAATGCTACACTCTAAGGAATGTTAAAAAAGGTAATTGTAAAGAACAAAAACAGTATAGCAGAAATCGTTATTACCAAACACCTCAATTAGAAAGGAAATGTATGGAGTGCATTATGTAAACAGGGAAATATATAGGTGCAGTGTCAATATACGAGTGGAGAGGTTGATGTTTCAGATGTTCATAGTTAAAATAGGAAAAACAACAAAAAAGTTTCTATAAACCTTTAGTGTAAAGCTTCTTGAAACAACCTCCGCAGCAGCCGAGAAGTGCAGAGAGCGAGAGCAGAGCTCGCAGGACCCAGCTGCTCCCCGCAGCGGCCTCGTCCTGCCCGGTGCCGCGGGACGGCGCGCGGCGCCGCGCTCCAGCCGCCCGGGCTCCAGTGCCATCTTCCGACTGAGGCCCCCCACTGCAGCGCTGCACAGTGCGGCGGGGCCAGCACGACGTGAACAGCTCGCCGCGATTTCACCTCGTCTGAGCAAGCGGCGCGCGGAAAAAACGCATCGCGGAGAAGGGCTTCGGACACACGAGGCCTTTGCCTCCAGCTGAGGAGTGACAAAAACTACACGAACGTACAAATGAGATGACCATGTGAGCTGCAAGGAAGTCTAAGCGTACTTTTTCTGTTTTGTGGTTAGGGATATCACCGAATATGGCATCTGCTTATTCCCTTTGAGATTGTATAATAAATATCAGGAAAAATTATAAATAAAGATCTTTGGGAAATATTTCAGAGGTAACCGACTGGTAATTTAAAATAAGACAAAAATCCCTAAAGACTTTGGGTTTATGCTTTGCTATATAAAGCAAACAAACCAAAAAAAAAATCACCCCTGAAGTTTAAAACTCTGCCTGAACTCCCACTAAAAGCGGGGAACAAAAAGCTGATTGTTTCTTCTTGGCTGTTAACAAGGACAAGTGGGTGAGGGAGTCAACACTTTCCTTGTCAGAGCTTTGTTTTGGAAGAAGTGCAGGCAGGCTGTCCTTGCCCAGACAGGCGCACACGCAGCAAGCAAGCAGAGGAGCTGTATATGCAACCATGGCCGAGCAGATCCACAGAACAGTAACTCATGAATCCAAGTAGGAACCGTATTAACTCCCAAACTAATATGGGCTCCTGTATTTTCTTGCCCACTGGAAATTTAGTTATCATGGAACCACCTTGATAACCAAAGAACAACCCACTTGCTGCAAAACTAGTGTTCCAATAAGTAGCTAATCCTGCACTTAGTCATCTGAAAAATGGTACCAAAGCAAAACCTAAAAATATAAAATAGAATAATAATAATACGAAACTGCAGATTTTTTCCTGAAGATATCATTGGAAAAACGGCCATTTTATAAGATACACTGAAGTATTCTTTTTGCTTGTTTAAAATAACGATCATGTTCATCTCTGGGCAAATCAGACCACGGTATCCCTTTTCTTTAAAGAAGGGAGATGACATCTTCCAAAGCCAAGTTGATCCAGCCCTGTCCCCCTGTAAGGGCACTACAGTGGGTGCTGGGCTCTCTGCAGGTGGCTCCAAGGAGTGGCCAATTAGTACAGGGAAGTTCATAGGGAACTGAAATGATTTGACATCATATCAAGAACACAGTGAGGTCAAAAATAACAATACAAATGAAAAATATGCTGATCATTCTGTATGCTCTGAGCCTTTTACATACAATCTATAGAACTACTGCAACAGAGATCCTATTTACCTGCAGCATGTAATGCTTTAACCTGCACAGCTTACATGGAAGCCAAACCACATGCTTTGTTTAATGCATAACTGCATGTATTGAACACAGGTTTGGGCTATAGATAACCAGCAAGAGGAAGAAAAGTCACAAGGCAGAAGAAGGCCACAAAGTGCATAAGGAGTCATTCAGAAGATAAAGCCATTGCACACAATGCACAGGTAAGTACACTCAGGTACCACACTGGAAGAGCTGACTGCACCCTTCTGTCACCTCAGTGTAGCAGCATTTGTGTAGAAAGCTATTGCCCCTGATTTATAATGGTCACCTTCCTCATAAGGACCACAGATGCAGTTTTAGAAGTAGGCAAGGTGCAGATGAAAGGTTGTCTACAAAGCTATACAAATTTTTGGAACATTTAACCTACAATTCTGACATTCCAGCTGTATGGTTTTGGAAAACCCTGCAAGTTATGAGAGAAGAACAAGCTAGCTGAGCCTTGCTGCTGAACGCAATGCTATTTTGCCAGTAGTTTATAGAATGATGCCTGAATATTCAGACAATTTGGAGCACAAGGTTATACTGTCAGCTGCAGTTCTGCACACAAGCTCAAACTGGAAGTGATTCAGCAATTTAAAGGGGGATGCTTACAGAAAACAAAACAAAACAAAAAAAACTATTGCCATTTTCCCATCTCTGAACAAAGGCTGCACTGAAGATTCTCTCTCAACTCCAACTGTCTTCTGCTTTCCGACCATCTTAGCCATGTTCATGTGATTTCCTCCCCTGTTCTCCAAGGCAGGTAATTCGTGGTCAGGCTTTGCAAGAACTAGTTTCAAGTTAATGCAGCTTGCTCTTAGCTAGCATGAAACTCTAAGACAATCTTGTCTTCACAAACATTAGGCTGGACTAGATAGAATTTATCATTACACTGAGAAGCTCTAATGATACTGTTAAAAAGTATTCAACAAGTTATTTCTTAGTTGTATGGGTGACCTAGAGTTAGCAAGGAAAATTCATGATGGAGAATATTCTATGAATTTCTTGCTTTTAAGAAAAGGAGGAAAGGGTTTTTTTTTTTTTTTTTTGGGGGGGGGGGAGGAGAGAGAAAGCGAAAGATGATGCAGCAGAACTAGAAATCCACATACATCAATATTAAAAGATGAATAACCTGAGGAGTCCAACAATAATATCTTCTCTCCTACTAGCCTAGAATGCACTGTTCATCGTTTACAGGTGCTAGGGGGAGGAAATCACCTTTTGTAGTGAGGAAACACTTGGATTCTGGGTCCTTGCACCATATTTTACCTTGAGGTAGCAACATGAAAAAAGCTACACATTGACTACTACCTCAGTCTCTCTATGCATCTTCAGAACAAGTGAAGTTTCATAATGTATGCAAAGGTAGGGGTATGTAGTCTGTTCTTCCCCATTCTTCCAACAGGCTACTGTGCAGTAAAACAGAACAGAAAGGTATATTGAAGAGCAATCACTTCAAAAAGGGAATAGGGCTGCCCCAGAGTATATTTTATACCCCTTTGCTCACCCTTCAGGTCTCTCAGGCTGACTGAATGGCCTGGTCTAAATCTGAGATGCAAAGAAAATGCAATTCTGAATTAAGAGGTGTATAAAGGCATTCCCTATGGGGCAGCTCCCATTAACACATTGCCAGGAGACCATACAATAAGGCAGTACAATCATAGTTGCCCACAATAAATCTTCTATTTTGTCCATAGCTGCACGTTCCTGATAGCTTTCCTTCTGCCTGCAACACTGGCACAGACGTTTGGTAGTCCACTCGAGTCTTTCGGTCTTCCACCTTCCTCTAGAAAGCCTTGTGACACTGCTATCCATCCAGCAAGTAGACTACCACTTCATAGGTTGACATCATGATAGCTGTGTTTGGGATCTGTCTGATCAGATGTGTAGTTAAGCCTCGGTAGAGGGCTCCATACCCTTCTTCTCGCACAAGCAAAGATAGTGTCTGGAAGAAAGATCTGTATTTTGTTCCCTCTTCTCTTAGCCTTGTTCGTACAACCTCTGTATAAAGAAAATCATACGTGGTTATGTTCACCACTGCTTTTCCTTTTCCAGCAAGCAGTTAATGAATTTAAAAATCATTCTTTCCTCAAGTTCACTATCACAAAGCTTCAGAAATCAAATTAAAAAAGAATATACATCAAAGAGGGGTAAACCAAGCACCTAGAAGAGTGAAGCAAGCTAAACCTTCATCTAGTTTAGCCAAATATTTAGCTGAGCAAGTGAAGTTCTTTGACTCAGTTAACATCCAGAAGACTATAGCTTCTCATATTCTAGCTTGAATATCACCACCAGTGAAGTATCCAACCTACTAAAAACAAAAAATTATATATACACACACTTTACTGAAAAATTAAGTACAACTGAAAACCAAAGAAGAGAGCATCATGAAGAGCAGTGTGTTAGCAAGTATGTCTTGCCTGTTTTCTTAGAAGGAAGATACAAATTGGCTGATGAATCCTGAAACTGTTGAGCATAGATAGAAATTCCAAGGGAAAGACTACTGTACCCTTAAGTGATTTTGGGCAGATCCTGGTAAGTTTCTTGTGGTATTGGGGAAGGAAAAAGCTAAAAGGGGCCACGCTAAAAATCCATTTTAAAGTATTTTCCAGTTTTATTTCTGAATGTTATTAACTCCTTTTGACTTGCTGAATCAAAAGTAAGGAGATTCAAACAAAGAAATAGCTCTGTATGACCTCCTTGGCCAGTGAACCAACAGTCTCCTAGAAGTCACTGACAAGACTCCTGTTGACTGCTTTGATTCAGGCCTCAGACATCCCACTTACCATGGGGATATGCTATTGATGTTGCACACGTTTTGGAAGTGGCAGCAGCCATCATCATTCCAACAAAGTCCGAAGCTTCCTTTGATGATTCATCCACATTGTCCATGGCAGAAGTTTTATGTTCCAGTAGTTTTCGCTTAATACTCTCATAAATAACAAAATGAATAACAGTCTCAGATATGCCTGCATATGATGCTGACATTCCTCTGTAAAAGCCTTTAATACCATCTGATCGATAAACTCTCTGGACACATTCAAAGGCACTCATTCGCCTTTCTCCACGATTCCTGAAAAAAGAAAAAAACAGATATAAGACTGGTGCAATCAGAGACTAAACAAAACTTAGAGCATTTCTTGAGTGGCATGATGACATACTTACAAATACAGAACTTGAAGGTCCCAAAGACCTTCAGCACTAGACATCAGTAAGCATTTTGCCTTAACCTAGTCAAAGGCTATAAGGTGACCAACAAAATGAACACCATAAATAGCTGACAAACACCTCCAGGTCTGTTCAAGTCTTATAGAACTGTGGACTAAATCATCTGAAAACTATTTCACAAGTAAATTATATAAGTCTGACACCTGTGAGTCAAGGGCTACTTCCTTTGCATGTAAAAATTAGGTATGTTTCTCCATGTTCTCCTCCAACTTCACCTTAAATAGACAGCTCTTATGGCAGGGCAATAAGCCATTCTATTCTAGAAATAACAGTCTTGCAACATGGCCTTTAGGATTACGCGGCTATGAAGCACGTGAACACAAAGGGCTCAAGCATCATGCCTCACGTCATCACGGCTCTTCCTGAAGAGCTGGGAGGTCTGGTATGAAGGAGGCAAAAAAAGCAATACAACAAGAGTAACTTTTGAGTCACAACTGATGTCAATGGATACGTTCACTAGATTGCCATTGCCCTCCACATGCTCATTTTACATATGTGAGCATTAAAATCTTCCTCCACAGCCTCTCAATTTTTAGTTTCTGATGTCAATGAAATGAGCAGTTTTCAAATTACTTTAGACACTATCAGCCAGCACGTGGGAACTGTACATCTTAAAACACTTAAAACACCAAGCGCACAAAACTATTAGGCATTGCATTAAGTGAGCTTCATTGCAGCGCAAGTGCAGCCACTCGAAGCACCTGGATGCTGCCAGTAGAGGTCTCGTCTGAGCAGAGAAGCTCAATAACAAATGAATGAATCAGCATCTGTCCTTAGGAGAAACTACCATAGATCTCACAGATATGTCAAAGCAAGGTAGATGGCAATGGCACCTTTGTGCAAACAGGGAGGCATCACTGGATGGCAGAATTTAAAGTCTGATGGTTTGAATCTGCCAGAATTTCAGAAAAGAAAAGCAGCAAACATGCACATGGCCACAAATCAGATCTGGACTGAGTTAAGCTGCTGATGCTGCAAAGGAGCAGACAACACTGCTGACGTGGCAAGAGGAAGGAGAAGCAGCACAACGGGAAAGAGGAGCAGTGGGAGCTACTGTGGCAGCTCCCAAAGACACCCACAACCCACGCACCCCCCCCGACCCGCTACCCACACTGACTCCTTTAACAAGTTGCTCTTCTGACGTGCAAGATGCACCATTTTGCCTCAGAAGACCAGAGCAACTTCTCTTTGGGAACAAACCTTGCGTTCTTGCAGGTCTTACTGAAATCTGTGGGAGTTTTAAGAACTTCAGCAGAAACGGGATCAATTTTGTGCCTCTAATGCACGCAGGACCTGGAAGCAGTGCTGGGCCAGGCCACACAGCTGCACTGCCTTGCCCTCAAAGATCAAAAACGCTTCCTTCTGCAAGTGCCCCATAGGAATGGCCTGCTTGATGCTATGTACAGAGTAAAATAAACATGAACCCCTAAACTTCCCCTTAACCATATGGTTTAAGCGAATTCATGAACAGAAAAGTGTAAGACAGTATCAGGTTCAGACACACTGTTGTCGCAGAATCCCCCCAGTCTCATGGTAGCATCACAAGAAGTCTCATAAAACTAGTTCTGGGATGCATTTACTGTCATCTTGCAGCTGACCCTACCTGCTAAGAATAAGAACATCACTATGAGATTGAAGTCCAATAAAGCCTCAAAACAGGAACCTTGGAGTTCATGTTTCAGAACACTGGGCAGTTTCAGTCTTTATTTGGAATTAAAAAACATACTGATTTTAACTGTTCCACTCGGATAATGTTTCTGTTTACATCATATGTAATTAGGAGCTCTAGTATTTTTGAATATTTGATGTATTTCCATATTGCTTTTAACTAAAGTTTCAATTGCAGGTTCTGTAGCTAAAAGGTTCAATAGTGTACCAAGGCTTCAAAAATAAGGTATATAAAAAGATTCACTAAGATACTTGCATCATAATTGGGTCTCCCAAACTTTAAAGAAAATAAAGCTGTTCTTCCCTGACTATTTGTACAAAATTCTACTCTATTACAAGGCAAAAAACATTTTCCATAATTGATTTTGTAATGCATCCAGACAACTTCTATTGATTATCCTATGCTAGGACAACTTCTATGTCTAGATCAATGAGAGTCATATTCTTAAAGGAGCTCATTATAAGTGAAAGAAATGAAAAGCAGTATATTTCAGGTATTTTTCTGATATTTTGTTAAGACATCAAAATCCTTATTTCAGGGATTTTAGGGCAACAGCTCAAAACAATGGAAATAATGTTTTGTCAATCATATCAGTGTATAAAAGCTAATGAGACTTAACTTTGACTTTCATTCAGAATTTGTTGGCCAGAGATTACTGCAGTACCTCAGGCATGCCTTAACATGAAGATTCAAATATAGAGAACCATGATAGTTTAACTTACAGATCAGTACCAACTTTTTAATTTGAGACACTATAAAAAGAAACATTCCAGCTTAAGATGCAGAGCAAGTTGACGACATTATTCTAAGCAAAGTCTTATTACAGCAGTAAGATTTTTGGTTGTCACCAGTGAGTTCTATTAACTTTCTTACCTCGCATCAAGCTGTAACCGTGTCTTTACTAGCCAAATGGGATTGGTGGTCGTGATTGCAGTAAAACCTAAACAAACATTTAAAAATAAAAGTTAGATGTGATAGCACCATAAAAGCAACTGCACCTAAGTTCAAACATACACAGTAAGGTACAGCTGATGCAAAAACTCAGACTACACTGATTTTTATAAAGTACCCATTGTAGCCCTTTACTGGTATTACAAGAATCCATACAGCCAATAGACATTGAATATACTAATGTAATTTTTTAAAAAAGTAATATGCTTAACTGTTAGCAAGAGATTCCCCACAAAAAATAAGCCCAAATGTGTGCATTTTCCTGCCTATCCATTCATACCAACCCTATTTCAACACCAAAGAATAGCAAAGTTATCTAAACTAGTGTTAGCTAATTAGTTTAGAAACATTTTAAGTAAGCATGTTGCAAATACAGCTATAGCAATTAGATATTGAAAACATTGGGTCAATTTAATTTTCTACCTGAAATAAAATCTGAGTTTAAAAGCATGCAAACTGAATAAATACTACTTTTGGTGTAGCTAAAAGGCATATTTTACTGTAAGTTAAGAGATTTCTTTTAATACTTAGGAATAGAGAGAAATTAAATTTGAGAGCTAGTGTTTTATTTAGTATTCAAAGAAAAGATCGTTGGTTGGCTGAGGAATACTTATACAAGCATATGAGTGTTTAAATCGTTAAAATAAATAGTATGGCTTCTAACTATCCAGACAGACACCAAGTATTCAGACTTGCATCAAGGCTAAGTGTTAAATCTATGATTTTCAGTCCACTAAAGAAAAAAAGAGGGAAGGAGGAAAAAAAATAAAAAGGAAGGAAGCAAATTCAAAAAGAAAAAATGAAGTAAGAGTCACTCTTACTTCTGTACAACTGTGGAGAGAGAGATAGAGTGGAAAGGCAGCTCAAAAAAATAAAATAAAAAATAAAAACATCTAGAGTTATATTATCACACATGCACCGTTAATGAGGTGACATGTCTGCAGGAGGGAAAAGGGAGAGGGAAGAACTGGAACATGGCCAGGCAAGAGATGGTAAATTTAGACACTGCGCTTCCTACTGACACGCATGGCCTGTGCAGCACCAAGACGACAGGCTGCCTCTGCCAGGGACGGGGCTGAGGGAAAGCAACACACACTGCCTCGCTCCGAGCTCTATCTGCTGTGCAATACTTACACAAAGAAGAGGCTATTGATAAGCTTGTTTATGGAGATCGTTAACAGCTTATGTAAATAGATATATTTGTTTAGCAGAACTGCTTGCAGACCAGTTACTTCTGTTCAGTCAGTCTATGTTTACATGGTACACAAATGACTGAAATACTCAGAAATGCCACAGGATCTTAACTGTTTTAAGGTCTAGGTACCTCCCCCTCAAAGCCTCCAAAATAGTTCATTAGGATTTCCAGTTACAGTTCTGAAGACAAACCATGACTACCTGTAAGGTTAAGTAGCTACTAAAATCTACGTGCATTTCTGCGCCAAAAGAGCAAGAATGACCCTTACCTATTCCATTAATCTTTTATTAAACACAAATTTACTTTTACTGACTCAACTGAATAACTTCACGTGAAGTCACTCATTCAGTAGATCATAAACAGAAAGTTAAAGTTCTCCTTTGAAAAAGGGACATTACTCATAGACAAATGACTCTGCAAAAGCTCAGAGCACCAGGGCTCTTTGGCCTTCCGAGGGAGGAGACCCGTGCAGAGGGTCCGCGGTGGGGCTGGCCCTCCTCCCCGGCACCCTGCGCCACACGAGCCGGTCCCGGCAGCGCTCAGCCCCGCACCATGCTGAGGGGAAGGAGGCTCTCCTGCATTTTAACATTTCATTATCCTACCGCTACCAAAGTTGCGTCTTGCTACGTTTCAAAACAACCTTTTCAGATGTATATTGCACTAAAATGCAGTATGTACAGGACTGCAACAAATATATTGAAATGAAATAGGGGAAAATAATTTCCTCCTAGGCAGCGGCCAGAGAAGACTTCTCCATTAAGAAACAAAAGTAGTTCTGAAGTCCCTTCTACTTTTTCATAACTTGACTACAAACCTTTTAATGAATCTGCCTACAAGACCAAAGTCATTTGCATTCCTACCCAACTTTAAGTTAAAAGTCTTTAGAATTTTATTTACTAAGCTATATTTTATGGAACTATTTCTCTGCTCAGTTCTTTCTCTTTCCTATTTGGCACAAAGATTTGTCTCTGTAGATCCTAAACCCATAATAGAATATGTGTGTCCAGAGGCTACTTTAAGTGTCCAAGTGCCTAGTGACTATGCTTTCCCAGAGCAAAGGCAGGATATTGCTATGCAGAAAGGGATATACCAGAATTTGCAGCAAATGTTGCTTGGCACAGGACACCTCCTACCTAAACTTGCACTCCCTGGGCTGTTCCAAGTAATTTAAGCACAGCACTTCAGGAGCACAGCATCACAACATTGCTTTTTCCCCACTTCCTTCTCCTTAGGGCTGTTTTACGCCTTAACAGCAGAACAGTTTGGACCAAAACTTTCAAATCAAAGAGTCTTCAATAATTCAGGCATCCAAGAAGAGATCACTGTAGCTCAGTTCTCACAGGCAATACAGTAAGTAGAAAAAGCAGAATACACTAAGAGTTGAGCACCACACTGAACTCAACGGAGGCACCTGAACAGAAAATGCCCCAAATGTTGGGATCTCTTTGATAAGATAAGCTTCCCTTTTCACTACAGATTTTCTCTATTGAAAACCACTGGTTAAAATGAGTGTCTGGTTGTCATCTACTATGTAGTTCTATGCCTCTCTACCCGATGTTTCCTCCCACCCCACTGTTATGTTCATCCACTGATCTTAATAACACTTAATGTTTATGAACCACAAAGATTTAAGACTGCAAATTCATGAGGAGTGCAAGTCAGCCTGACAATACCAGAAGTTCCTCTACTTGTCTCTATACTCTAGTTCTCTCTACAAAACTGTATTCAAGTTTCAGACAAATTTCTCAATCTGTTGGGCTAAACCAGTTAGTGACAGGTAAGATCCCAGGTATTCCTATTGTGAATTACATTTCAAAGGTTAGTTTTTTAATCTATAAGCCAATGTCACTGATACAGACACATATGAATATGGAATGCTGAATTAGAAATCCAAAGTAGTAAATTAAAAACAAACTAAAAGAGAAAACAGACAGAAGGGAGACTGTATACATTTTTGGGGGAAAAAAAAAAGAAAAAAAAGAGACAAAGAAGAACAAAAAAGTTTTTTGGAAACAATGTGACACCACAGAATACAGCTGCAACATTTTAAATGCAGCTCTGAAAAAAAAAAAAGAGGTCTGGTTTAACCCAGTAAGGGACCTTCAATTAGCAGAGCTAAATAAAAGCAGCAGCCATCAGTGAAAGCTACTTCCCACCTTTCCCTGAACTGCACTGAAAAACTTAACTCTTGAATAGAGTTAAAGAGAATGATGTCTTTGCACAATGAGCACAATGTGAGTTCACGGTAATGAAAGGTGAATTCCCCATATTTTGTTTAATAGATATTACAAACCCAAGGTGTGGTTCTTACACTAGAGGCTGCAAGAGACGCTCAGTTCAGTACTCACGAGGTTTAAGTTAGTCCATATTGCTGCAGGAAGTGACCTGCGGATGGGGAGCATGAGATGACACGATCTCACTCTTTTCACGGGAGAAATGTACAGTAAATGCCTAAAATAGACACAGGCTTTTCTGTATCATAACAACAAGCAGTGACCTCATCAGACACATGTGTACAAATTGAATCCCATTGGAAGGATTTGTGAGTTATTGTGAGATCTAACTTTTTCAGGTAAAAGTTTAGGAAAAAAGAAAGAAAAATAATCAGAACAGGCCACAGATAACAAAATAGTTGTGTAAAATGCACTGAGTACTGAAATTTCTGCCCATTTGCAGCAGTTCAATTTTGCAATACTTACCTATCAACTCAATACTTACAAATCAGATTTATAAATGAACTCTCCTCCTTCCCCATCTCCCCACATTTTTAATTAAAAAAATGCTAACTTATCAAAGGACTCTGGAAGTACAGTAAGATGCCTTATGAAATCAAGCTGTCTAGTACAAGTAGCAGATGAACTAAGTACTCTATGTGGCATTTGCCAAGTTAACTGTGTATATATTACTGACAGGTATAAAATACATGGTGTCTCTGCAAATAGAGTTGACCCAAATTAAATTTACACTTGGGTTGGTTTGCCAGTTGGAGTTCCAGAAAGACTGAAAAACTTATAACAAGCAAAGCACTTTCATAGTGACAGATTTGCAACTACATTGTCCAAATAAAGCTATGAATCATTAAAAAGGAGGCAAACTAGAAAGCCACACAGAAACCAAGCACCTCATTTAGGTTGCCATGTGAGCTTTTACCCTCTGTTGAGGTAAAAGATGTACAGTAAGTGTAACAAGAAAGCAAAGTTTAAAGCAAATCAGAAAGTTTTGCATAACTTTGGAGTGTGCGGAGATAAGTCATCTTTACACAGGCAAATATTTTCACTGTCCTTATAGCAGGAGGCTTCAAATTTACTCCCTGTCCAAGTTTTCAAAAACAATCATGTGATATGCTAGATGGTAAGTGAAAAGTGTTGCTAAGTATATTTTCATGCTGATATATGAGTATTGTAAAGAATGAAAGTGGTGTGAATTATATGCTAGAAGCTAGCACACAGCAAAAGGAATTACATTAAATTCTAATTGCATAAGGCATCAGTTACTAATATGCAGCACGATTGATCCTTCTCAGGATAAAAAGCTCAAAATTGTTATAAAACCAACAAGTGTGCTTTATCTTGAGAAGGAAAAATCAGGCCCAAGAACAAACAAGAAATGCTTAAATTGCACTCAAAATTTAAACTATCACCACAGTACTTCATTAACAGAACTACAGAATACAGTACCTGAGCTTCTTGCTCCAAGAACCACTACATGCATAAAATAATCCATATTAACAACAAAGTTAATCCAGCCATAGACACTCATGCATTAACACGATACAGGCAAGCACTGTTTTCCAGGTTGACTACTTACAGGACTTTCATACAACAACATGAGCTAAAAATATGGATACCTTATAGAAAGTTTACACATTCTTTTTTGCATGATTATTGTATTTTGAAATCCACAGGGAAAGATTTTATAGTACAACCACCACCTCTTGATTATTAGGCAATGGACATCTTTATACAGGAGAGTAAGGTCCTATTTAAACAAAACCCCCTGTCATTTGAGAGCAACTTCCTTACTGAAACCAATGGCAGCTGCAAAAGATAAAAACCAATACTGGTTATTTTTACTAGTAGTTAGAAGCCTTTATTCACCGTGCCAAGATAAAGCTGTTTAAGTTCCAAAACACAGTATCATGAGCTGCTGTGTTAACCTGTTAACTGAGCCAATTAAGAGCTCATATTAGTTCTTGTCCCTGGATTTTGCCATTTCCTTGAGTTGCACCACACAGCAATACGAACCTTACAGGCAGAACTGTCTTCTGAAAGACATATAATTACATACAGATTTTAAAACAACAAGGTTAGCACTTTCCCAAAAGCACTGTTAACTTGAACTACAGCCCTTTGCATATCAAGCAGGAGAGTGCCAGGACTCAGAACATGGTCTGTCAAAGAGCCTCTGTTACAGGACTTCCAGGGAAGGTCTGGATTATACAGTACTAAACTAGTTTGAGAAAGAAAGAAAACAGTGACCTGTAGTGTGAACTTGCATTCAGTTGCACCAGCCACGTGGTTTACGAATACAACTGCAAAACTAAATAGATGTAAGAAACATATAGCCACAGCACTGTTCAATATTACAGCTGGTATACAAGTGTAAAAAAATAACAGCAATTAAGAGTCAGACACATGCACCTCAGTCTCCAGTATTCATAAATGCAGATATTTAATAGCAATTTTTCTGAAAGGGAAACAAGTCAACATGCGGCTATGGAACTCCTTGATAAAACTAGAAATGCAACTTCAGGTGCTGGGGAAAGGCTGCTGCAGAGCATCCCCTCAGCAACATTTCCCATTACAGAAAGAGGCCAGCAGGGTTCACAACGCTCTGAACCTTTAGCTCTCTGCAGGACCACCATTGCTACAAGTAGTCTGCAGTCTAAAAGTGCTAACCTATTTTTCTCATCTTCAGCTCTTTGTCAAGAAGATAAAATAGGTCTTTATTCTGCAGGAGGAAAGAAATATGGATAGTAAATGGGGAAGAGTTGCATAAGTTTGGTTTCTGGAATAATTAATTGATTGGGATGAAATTCAAACTCCTTCCCAATCTTTTCCCCAGTGTTTTTCACCTATAAACAAACAAAAAACCACATTGCTTAGCAATATACTCTATTTACCAATGAAATGGGTATCCTACTTTGCCCATTTAAGACAAAATGCCTGTTCTTATGTTTAAGTCATGACAAAAGTACTGCAATCATATTTACCAAGCACTGAGATACATAAGTAAAAAGCTAATATCATGGCTATTTTCTATGTTAGATACCAATTTCTTTGTATCAGATTTAGCAAGTATCTATGGAAGAGTTATGCTGTTCATTCTCATATCACAACTGACAGATCTTTCAATATTACCAGTGCTCTAGTTATATGCAGTGAGTGTAAAAAATTGGTATCAATTGGGAAGTTCAACAGGCTGTTGTAATACAGTCAGAATCCCCCTGTAGAATCTATAGCCTACACATAGGCACACACACACAGACATATTTATGTTGTTGCTGCCAACAACAGGCAAAGTATTGCCAGATGAAGTATTTTATTTCCCCAGCACAAGTCTGTTATGGGAACTCAAGCCTGTACCTCGTTGTTCACAATCCCAATGCAATGAATCACAAACCAAGCAAATATCGGTAATGGCTAAAATATACACAAGTTATATTGTAGACTAAAGCAGAAACTAGTTTCCAGAGATAAGAGATTACAACGACGACGAAAAAATCTTCTTTTATGCTGTATTTATGGTAGAACAAACCAATTTGACCAGCATTTGAGCACAGGGTGTGTGCATTTTTAAACACATCAGCAAGCATATCTCCAAAAGATAAAAAATAAGTCAAATACACATGGTGTAACAGATAAACCAAAGGTGAAAACAATATATTTAAAGCATTAAGCCTAACTTCAGTGCAGACAATATCATTTTTAGCTGGCAGAACAAAAATAATTACTGTGTTGAAAGTGTTCGTTTTACATTTCACAAAATATATCAAGGAAGAAGGCATGCAGTTTTTCTAGAAAAGACTATTCACACACAGACAATTAAACATCTTAATTAGTGCAAACTTCCATGCACATATTGTCCAGATGGCTTGTGTCTCTATCAGGAGGCCAAAAATAACTACTAGAAGCAGAAGTCATTCAATCACTGAGTATTTTTCCATGTTTATTGCCACCTCATTTATCAGTAGGACTCTAGAATGAAGCTGAAAAGTTACAGATCCTTACCTGCCACACCAGCTGAAATCATGTGTACCTGGGTAGAATCTGGATTGAATACATCGTTTAACTTTTCCTTGCAGTTTGAGTAAGCAGCAAAATATATCGCTCTAAAATTAGAACAAGAACTGAGTTATATTATGTTTTATGCTTTGATGCACTTATGAGCAGAGCCACTGGCTTCAGTAACTCCGAGTGATCTTGTTTGATGTCTTATCTCCTAAGTAAAAAGCTACTCAGGGAATAGTTCTTACCAAAATTGTGAACATAGTAGGAATGAAAGACTGAGCACATTTTACAGCTTTTCTTCCTCAGCAGAGCTAGTTAACACCTGATGAGGTATGGAATAGATGGCTCTAAGTTGGGTAGAAGTTTGGCCAGGAAAGTAAATACTTAATTGAGAACTGAAGTTGCAACTGTATATCTCCTCAAAAGATTAGCTTTTTTTTCTCAGAATCTTAATTCTATTGAAGTGAGATTATGCTGTTAGAACATCAGTAATCATGCTAATATATATTTCATTTTACTAAAATGTCACAAGACTATTATTTAAATAATAATGACATTTGTTGCTTGTTTCCTTAATTCTGCATTCAGAATAGATGCTTAAATTTTTCATGAATACAAGAGAAATATTTATAAGCTTGTGCTACATTAAATTATGTACACTGATATAAAAGTTAGACACAAGAACTAACATGTCAATATAATATTATGACAAGCTCACTAAGACTATAAACATGATTTAAGTACACACAGAACTGACTGTGTGTACTTGAGGCTGGTAACTCAGATTTCTGTTTAAGTGAGAGTCTACAGAGGAAAGAATGAACATGAGTTTTCATGAACAGAACATTAACTTCATTAATTCTGCAAACATGTTTCTTTATCATAAAAATGATAAAGTGCTTGGTTCATGGGCATGATTTCTAAAATAGGCCCTGAGCCCAGTTGAGTATACTGAATGTGTTATGAAATAAGGTTCCTTATAGCTTATTTAAACAAAGAGCTGCTGTTAAATCCACTTAGCTAATGCTTAATTGAAATGAAGCACTGAATGAAGACTGAGTGCACAGGAAGAGAGGGAGGGATGTGCTGATTTTAAGACTTCACACATTACAGTGAGTACACATTTTTAATATGGAAAAAAAACAGCAAATACTCCAACCCCCCACAAACTAAACATTTTACCTGGTGGCAGAAAGGAAGTGAACTGGAACAGTCAAATAAACATGAAACTTTCCAGAAGGAGCTACAGCTACTTCTACACGAGCATTGAGGATAGAGTCACTGACAAAGTCAACTTCTTTGCTGTATAAAGGCTCCTGCACTGAGAATGTTGCAATGCACTTTAAGTCTTTGCCAATAGAAAAAAAAAATAAACTAAAAGCCTAAGAGGAAAGGGGGGGAAAAAAGCAACTAAGTGCTAAGGTCCCATAACTTCATTCCTACAGACTGATGGTGTAGAGATCAATTTAGCCTTTAAGGACTGACAAATTAGAAGGAAAACTACCTTCCTCCTGCCAAAGGAGGAAGGGAGCAGCAGCAGAACAGGCCTGGGTGCGCAGGGGCGCATGCACGCACTTTCCTAGCGCAGAGCAGCAGGAAGGGGGAGGGAAGACACTGGTGATCAGTGACAGAACAAGGGGCAATGGGGACAAGTTGAAACATAGGAAGTTCCACCTCCATGTGAGGAAGAACTTCTCTGTTGTGAGGGTGACAGAGCCCTGGAACAGGCTGCCCAGAGAGATTGTGGAGTCTCCTTCTCTGGAGATCTTCAAAACCCGCTTGGACGCAGTCCTGTGCCACGTGCTCTAGGTGACCCTGCGTGTGCAGTGGGGTTGGACTAGATGATCTCTAGAGGTCCCTTCCAACCTTAACCAGTCTGTGATTCTGCAAAGTGGAAGATAAGGGCACAATAAGACAAGCAGGAAGAGAGGACAGCACTTCCCTTGCTGCCTGCAAGCAGGTGCTGGCACAGTCAGCACCGAGTCGGGTGGCAGCGGTGGCAGACGGCGCCTGCAGCAGGAGCTGGGCAGCCCACCTGCAAGGTTCCTGTCAGGAGACATTTCTCAAGTGAAAGCGTGATCTGTTCTCAATGTGTCAAATAGATGCACACAAAATAATCTTTCACATGAACTAATATCTTTTTCCTGCATTTAAAGACTCAAAAGTAGTTATTTTAGAATATTGATGGAGAGTGCTCAGAGAGAACCTCCTGCTATCATATTTCACTATAAAATACTGCTTTTTTAAATCTCAAGACAAATAACTGCTTGATAACCAAATCAGACTTTTTCTCCAGCAAATTAAGAACATCAGGGAAACTAGTCAGAATTTCAGCTTATAGGCCAAGAGAAAGCAAGCAGCAAGACAATTACAGGGATCAAGAAACAGAAAGATGCCAGAATTTTCTTCAGCTCTTCTGAACAGTGATGTTCATTTAGCAAACAGAAATTACCTCAAGCAGATCTAATTCCTTCGAATGTCTTTTCTAAAGACTAAAATGTTCTAAATTTTGAAGAATGCTTTTGTGCTGAATCATGTTGAAGGTTTACAAATGTTGATTTCTTCATCTGTCAGATGTGTATGCAAGAATCAGTACTAAATAAAAAGTCTACTTTAATCAGTGTTTTCCAGAAGAAAAAGGCCTTAAACCAGAAAGCTTAAAATATTCACAACCACATGCACGAAAAAGGAATAATCACTCTGTTAATACCACTGAAAGGTACAGACCGAAAAAAAAATAATGAAAGCAAGGCACTGAAATAAAGGGAAGAATAGTTACTATGAGGTATATATTTTCTCTGCATAACAACACTTCCCTTGACAACAGAAGGGAATTACTACAAAATGGAAACAAATTATGTTATGGCCTCATCCATGAAAAAGTTACACTAGCTTGATACAGTTTTGTTTTTATAGGGAGAGCAGCAGTGACAGTGTCAGCAAGACCAGATCCCTGCTCTGGGCTGCTGCATACCCTGATGCTGCCCCACTACCCTTCTGAGTCCAGCCCAGGGCCAGATTTGCTTCATCTGTGACACCTGTATGTGCCTCATTGGACCTGTTCTTTCCCTCTTTCAAGTTTCAGACCAGCCTTCCTCATACAGGTGGCTGGCACCCTGTGCTGCACCAGAATTCAGGAAATTCAGGAAACAATGTTTTGAGGCTAAATTTGTGCAATTTCTCCCATAAAGGAGGATCACACCAAGGCTGTTCTTGTATTTTCACAGGCACAAGCTTATTTACGCATGCAATTTTTAATCTTGTTCTTCCCTAGCAGCCAAGGCTGCATTGCCTACAGTGTACAAATCCCCGGTATTAGTCATTTCTGAGGCGGCAGGTAGGGGGATGCACACGGGATCTGCAGAGTACACAGGCAGTTCCATCTGTTTCTCAGATACCAGAATTACCCTGGAAACAGAAGCTACTCACTGCTATGCATTTACACTGTGGGTGCAATAACTCATTGAAGTAAACACTCAGTCCCTTGAATAACATTGGGCAACCACCATTTCTGAGTTATTTCATTTCTGAACATCTGTTTGCATTTACCTGGAAGGAGCAACGCCAACCAAGTTAGGACCCAGCCCTCTGAAGAGGGAACGGGGACCTTCCTTTTGCAAGATCATCCTAGAACACAAAAAAGGACAGTGCTTAAACATTCACATCAAAATCAAGAAAAGCGCTAACCAGCACGACAAATTCAGCATTTTAAGTTTTACTCTCTGCATACATATAGGTTAATAACTGATAATGTAGTGCTGACCACAAAAGCACTAACGACTTCCTAGAAGCAGCATAGAATAAAATCTAACTACATTATTGCTTGACAAGCTGTAAAAATTCAGGAATTAAAGGTCCCAGTAAAGCCAGGAAAGTCCTGTTAGCATGGACTTTCCTCAAGGATCAAGCACAAGGTTATCTGCTCTCAGATAGTTAAGGAAAATGCCCTTTTAATAGGCCCCACACAAGCAAGCCCTTTGCAAAGCAGGTTGGGCCTCATAGAGAAGCGACTCCAGCCCTGCAAAAATCACTTGGTCAGATTAAAGCCCTAACATCTTGTGGAACCAGGTCCACCCCAAACATAGCAATGGAAAGAATCTTTCTGGCACAGGGGGGTATCACTTTATTTCAACACAGACGCAAGCAGTGAATCGAGATTTCAGTCAGGCATTGCCAATGTGTTTAAAATACTGTCCTATTAACTAGGATTTTTAAGAAAGATGAAGCTGTACATCAGCATACAGCAAAATGTCTTTGTACAGTAACTTTCACTAGAACTAGACATTAATAGATATCCTCTGTCCAACAACCTAGATGCTAATCAGGTACGGTATAAAATAAACAGGACCTGGGAGGAAAGAAAGCACTTTCTGCACCACTATCATTACAAATTGCTAAATAGATTCAGAATTTCAGCTAATCCTTTACTCCTCCACTGGATGTTGGCAATACAGAAACCACTGATCTTGAAATATTGTGCAATAAACGAATTTTTCACATATCAAGAGACATGCAGGTTAAAGACAATAACCTAGTAACACAAGCTTTAATGGTATATAAACGGCTGTGTGGGTTGAATATACTCTCAGAACAGCTGAAAACTATTTATAGCACTGAAGGAGATTCCAAATCTATTCTGATTTCCAATGACTGAAAATATCTATTTCACCATAGTTCTGCTGCCAAACCAAATGTTAAAGATATTTGCTTGTAAGACACAAAACACTGTTTCTTTGCAGCTATTTTGATATGAAGCAGTTACCATCACCCGTCAGAATCGGAGCATATATCATCTCCAGCAATGCCCCAGTTTCTCTGTAACAATTAGATGGATTTTGCTTTGTTGGCAGAGTTGCTCCCCAGCAATAACTGGAGGACAGAACACCTATGTGAAAAGCCATTTGGAAATCCCAATATTTAAGAAAAGCTTATCCTGAAAACATTCTAAAACTTAGTGAAGGATCTATTCCAAAAGTTTTACCTTCCCTAGGGTTCTGCATGCATGCACTACCACATTAGAGCAAATCTGAACCAAACCAATGTAGGCAGGGAACTGTTATCGCCTGAAACAGTCTGTGGACATAACCAATACAGCAAACTTCACCAGTGCCGGTGTTTTTAAATCAGGAACAGAGGTATATACAGGACTTTTGTTTTAACTAGGCTTTTCACATACCAGGTATGAAAAACAAGAGTTTCTCCTTTTGATCTGGAAAACAGAAATTGGCTTTGGACTCAGTCTGAAGCCAAAAAAGAGTTGTCATTTAACAGCTTAAGTTCTCAGCTTTAGGCACCCCAGTGAGTTTTGAAATGCTTACCTCTCAAGCAACTGGGTTTAAGAGTGAGAATACTTTTATATAATATTTGGAGTCAAAATTTGCCATGATACTCAGGCCAGGCCTTAGTGGTGAAGCACACATCTTCAGTTCAGTTTAGAATTAATTCAGAGGACAGATCAGTTTATCAGCCATTTAACAATACAGAAGAAAACTTAGCATTTGACAACTAAGCCATTTGGCAGAAGCAATGACGAGATGACCACACAGCATCGGTGCAGAATCACCTTTACCACTTTAGTGATTTAGACAGCAGTCTCCTTGGGAAATACCAGAAAACCCACAAGAGAAGTTCTAGCAAAAACTCTGGCAGAACTCCATGTCTTTATTCTGCAACTTTAACCAGTGAGTGTTGCTGAAAGCTCCACTCCCCGCTTGTAAAAAGGTCTCCTTTTGCCCTAAGGCATCCTGTCAGAAAACAGCAATTAAAGTCCCAGGCCAGGCAGAAGCTATTCCTATTGCATATAATCTGCTCTGCAAATCTTATCAGGCATAATATATTAAGGAAACCCAAAAAGCTTTAAAATGTATTCATACCAATAAGTATTAATTTCTCTGGAACATCATATTTTTCTCTCCATTTCAAAAGGTATTTAAAAAACATTCCATAAAGCAGGAAAGCTTCTCCAAGAATTGTTGTAAGAAATCTAGATTATGGACAAAGTTTTCTGCGAAGGTAGCTGTTATACTAAACTACTTCAGAAAGGTGTAATTTTTTCCTTCTGAAATATCAAAATTTCTGGTATAGAAGCACCTTTTATTAATGTGCCCACACACAAAAAAAAACTGTTTTAACATGGGTAGCTTCACAATTAAATGTTGTAGATGCACATATGCAGATATACATACATGTCTAATAAGCACATGCACACAAGGCAAAAACAGCATCAGGTCTGTTTTCCACCAACCCTCTAGGACTTGGCTTTTAAGTGCAATCAAGAGTTCAGCGAAGTCAGCCAACTCTTCCTTGACAGTGGGCAGACAGGACTATAGTTGTGGCAGTTACTGTTACTCTTCTGTATTCACAAACACAAGGTAGAAAAACATCGGTCTATTCTGAAAATAAAACAACTCTTTGCATTGAAAAGCAGATCCTAAATGTCCACACAGTTTACTGAAAGAGGTAAATGTTAAGTCCATGGTTGGAAAAGCAGCACAAATGTTCCACATGGCCTTACGTGACCTGCCTGTGTCACATGGGGAGGCTACTGCAAGGTCAGTCAGATTTCCATTATTCAAGACCTGTGATTTAAGTTTAGCAAGGTCAGATATCAGATATGGCAGGCAGCAGCAATATGAAACATCCAACAGAACATCTAGGAATACAGAGATTGCAATTCCATTGCCAGAGGCTCCAGGCACCTGTACTAGCTCTTCCAAGAGTGCTTCCTGACACAGATGCCTTTGAGGTCACCTCTGTTGACACTTAACTCAGGCCAAGAGCGAGTCTGCAGGAGTTAAATCATGTTCTGACATCACTTGCCCAAGTGTTTCTGCTTTTAGACTCCGAGTATGGTGAGCTCACTCCTGAGCATTCTGGAGCAGCACCACTCTCTGCCATTAATTTCACATGAGAAAACTACTAAACCTTGACACCTGCAATTCAGAATAGAGCAAGTGAAAATAAGGGCATGATACAGTAACAGGAGATCCAGTTTGATTCCTCTGTTAAACCTACAACGATAGCAGCCCTATCCTTTTAGACAGTGAGCAAATTATACCCCATATCTACAATGGGATAACCAGCAGCCTGACACTTGTGTTGTACAGCTTCCAGCAAGTGTTCAGAGACATACTCTGCAGCCATCAAATATACAGGGTATGAATCCTCTGGTTAATTCCAGGTACAAATTCAAGCATGAAGGACGTTTGGAAGACCAGAAGGCACAATTTAATTACAGTTTTAACGGGAAAGCATGGAAAATCACATCATTAACATCATGGAAGGAGTCTGACCCTCTCATATGCATTTTGCTTAAACCTTTCTCCCATTCCCCAGCCTAGCAGTGTGTGACTTACTTCAAGCAATGGAGAGGTCCAGGGGAAACTCTAGTTACTCGATTGACGGGAGCACCGTTCACAGTGTTGAGATGGACTTCAGAGATGTAGAGAGTCACAGAGGAGGACTGCAGCCTTGTTTTCACAACTTCTAGGGGACATGTCAGAATTGCACCAACAGTACCTCCACATCTGCAAAGGGAAAAATGCCACACTCTAAACTGCTAAGAAATTAATTATTATTAGAGGGTTATTAAGGTTATTGCTCAACATAATCAAGTGGCAAAAGGTGAAGCAGTAACTGGTGTAGGCACAACAATGCAGTAGTTACTGTTCTCAAATGAAATCCATTTTAAGGCAGTCTCTGCTAATGCCATAATAAGAGTGAAAATTCAAACAGATAAAGTTTCCCAACGCAACAAAGATGCTCAGTCTTCAGTACATACTGTTCAAATCCATTCTGAAAGACAGCTTAGTATCTCAAATATTTAACTCCTTATGGTAAAATTTAACTTCTTTTGAATGCTTAATCTCTTCCTTACCAACGGAACAGATTCGTGCAAACATCAGGTCTCAGGAAGCTGAGAAGTACCACAGTGAGACCAAGTGATTTAATAAAATAGCCATGGAGACATCTTGAGCTATTTTCAAAATCCTCTTTCTATTTTTGGCACAGTGCCATGAACACACTGATTCTTAGTATTTCCTGGGCTCTGCCCATTACAGAAAGACTTGGCTACTAGTACGGACAGACCAGGCAGACAAGAGACCTTTCTGAGGAGCTCCCCAGTGAACACCTGCAAGTTTTGCCACCACCTGCCACCCATTTCTGCAAGAAAGCAGAGCACAGTTTGTGCTGTTGATACAGTTGCTCTCATTCAGCTCATCCATAACCTACTTACTAATAACCTGCACTGCTATCTGCTCAAGTGTGACTATGAGAGGCCTGAGGGAAAAAAAATCTGCTAGTCTAAATTTTAAAGTCAAGCCCATATTTCCTTCAATCTCAAACCTTCTCTCTCAAATTTTCCTTGAGTCCTTGTCAAGATCACATTCTCTTTTTTTCCTCCATTTGGCCAAATATCTTAATTTAAATTGGTCCTTCCTCTCCTCTCCCAGCCACCACCTCCTCCCTGAAGGGTTAATTTAGGCCATTCACTAACACTATTAACCACACAGTGAAATCCACTAACAACTACACAAATGCAATTCCTACTAAATTCAAGGGGCCTGCATTCACTTCTCGGAAGGAACAGAGCTCATGTTTGATGTCGACAATCACAGAAAAATAATTAGCAGCTATTTTGTTGGAATGGAAAAGACTCAAACCCCAGAAACTTTTAAAAAAATGCCAGATTTGCTCAATAGCACCTTTTTTCCCCCCTTAAACAGAATATTACCGAAGGGAGAGTTCAACGCATGTACAGAAAATAAAAGCTAGACTCAAGGACTGTCCTACAGACTTTCAGGTATACGTAACTTTTAGAGTCTGACATTAGTTCTTTTCTGCCACAGAAAATATCAAAAATACCACAGCAGTTGTTAGCACAACGCTGTATCCTAGAAAGCAGCTAATCTGTGTTTGAATGAACTCAGCTTATAGCACCAAACAGGTGCAGCAAAAGATGATCCTAGACCATCATCACTTAGGCTCCGTTTAAACCAGTGACACCTACGCACCCCATTACTTGCATCTGGTGACTCCAACATCAGACTGCAGGTTCCTCTCTTTCAACTTTTAAGCAAGAAAAGTAAATAAGCTTGGTCTAGAGAAGCGAAAAAAAAAATATACATGCAGTGCTACACCCTAATTCAGGGAACAGCTTTTAGAGTAGCATGTTAAAGGGGACTAACAATTAGCAAGTCATTTGTCTGTTCTTTTAATAGAATTAAGGCTATATAAAGTTTTAAAAATAAAAAAATGCAGTGAAAAATATATTAATATTTTGTTCCAGTGTTGGAAGCCACAGAAACCCCTTAAAGGTTAGGGCACACGAGAGCAGGCCATGGGGGCTAAAGGGCCTCAAGGCTGTTCGACAGGGACCTTTAGACACCGCAGGGCTTCAGCCAGCAAGGACTGCCCGGCACACGCGTAACCCGCGGGTCGACAGCAGCCCAGGCCGCCCAGTACCAGGCACATCCAGGAAGCAGAGCAAGAAGGTGGCCTGGGCACTTGTTTTCCTTCTTGCAACCCTTCTACTTCTGATGACCCTACGCTCCCTCTAGCATCTTCCAGGTTTCGCTTTTGGGCAGACTGTGTGAAACCTCTTCTTCCAAAATGGAAGACTTTGCTCACTCAGGCTGCAAGTCCCACAGGACAGAGAATACGTTTCAAATTGGAAAGGCAAGCAGTAAATCCCCAAGCGTTGGGGAACCAGACCTTGCACGATTGACCCAGACCTCACACGATTCAAGTGTGAACTGAGGCACTAAGTGAAACCATAATCCAGAAACAGCATCAACCACATAATTCACTTGACCTTTTCATACGTACTCCAGCACTGGACAAAAAAGGTCAGTTCACAGTATAACAGGGACTGTCAGTAAACAGTCTGCAGAGTTACTGAATTGTTCCTGTTCACCTGCAGTCTGTACAAATAACACCACACGGAGCAACACGTCAGCTCTTCTGCCAGCAGTATCAATGACAGTATTTACTTAGAAACAGATATATATTTCCTGCCCTGCTTATTTAACAGATGACTACTACTAAAAATATTGTGGAATAAACAGTTACTTCTGCGCTGGAAATCTTGAAATACCATTAATACACAGGCACTAGCTGCAGTTTAGTAAAAGTGTATTAATTTTAAAAACTTAGCAGACCACGACTACCATAACTGCTTCCCTCCTCCCACAGCTAGGTCTAGGGCTTTTTTCAATTTGTGGCTTAACACAAATTAGAAAGCAACACAGCTTAGAAAAAACACACTTTAAATGGCTCAAAAAATTGTTTTCTCTTGAGATTTTGTAGGTTGATGAGAAATTTCTACCTCAAAATCCTTCAAGCTTCAGCATCTCCAAGCACAGGCTAAACCCTATTGAGTGTGACTTGTGAAGAACCAATACGTGATTTTCCCCAGGATTAGAGGAGTTTCACCCAGGATAGTGAGTAAACAACTACACTCATGCTGACAATGCATAAACAGGGAGCCAAGGAGGGCAGACCTGGGGGCACTCCTGTCAACAGATGATTAGGAACAAGAGTTATCTGGGGCTGCAGATAGCACCACAAGCCAGGTCACAGTGTTAGCAGCCTGAGCAAGGCAAGGCCTCCTGCTAACACAGCCACAGACCCTGCCCTCCATTCCAGACTTAACCGCTATCCCTTCCCAAAAGCATTTAAGTGCATTCAGGAGAAATACCTGACTTAAAAATACTGTTTTCTCATCTCACCTATTTCAGCCCAAGAGCTGAGCTTCATAGCAACATATCCTAATTTTGATATATACCTTTTTTGATGCCTACCACACAACTTTCCCGTTTTGCCAAGTGCTTTTAAGAAAACAAACAAACAAAGCATACCTCAACTTCTAATCTTATATTAGAAACACTTGATCCTGCAACAGGCTGCAGGACAGACAACCACAAGCAAATTCACAAAAACAAGGAGGATGGGGAAGATTAAGGACCACTCAACTAGATGCAACAGAGCATTAAAGCTGCAAATTAAAGCATACAAGTGGACACAAGTACTCAGTGCAACAGGTGGAGATGCGAACACTTCCTTGCACCTGCAGGACTGAGGCTAACTAGCACCAGGCCAACAGCAAGACTAAGAGCAGTTGTCCCTACTTGATACCAGCCCTCTCGAACAGGAGACAGGAGGAGTGATTCAGGCCTCCAGAGAGCAGCAATACAGAAAGGCCCACGGCTTGACCTCTAGCGTGCACAACTCATCCATCACCTCACCTGATGGAGGAAGACAAGCCTGGATGCATTCGTTTTAAACTCTGCGTGCACTTCAGCACAGACACTCCCAGCATGGAGAACTCTTTCTCCCCCTAGATAGACCTGTATTATTCATGAGGCTACTCAAGAAAAGAAAGATGAATATGCTTCAAAACTCAATCCTGGTTGGCTTTTGAATCTCAGGCTCCACTACCAGAAATATCTGCACAAGAAACCTCCTTTTATATTAGCAAATTGAGGATACTTCTCAAGGAATCACTGGCCTTGTCTAGACTTGTTAAATATCCTCTGCTGGTACATGAAACCCCTGCAGCAGCAGCAGGGTTGGATCCAGGGTAGATGAGGGTTTCAGCGTGTCAGCCAGTGGACTGTCTACAGGTGCTCCTAAAGCAAATTAATGTTCCCAATTCCGACAGTGCCAGCTGACCTAGAGGGGTAACTACTCCAGGGTAAGAGCAGCCAGCTTTTATACAAACAGAGAAATGAGGTTGCACAGCACTTGCCTGAGATTCACCATTCAGGATTTCTGCAACCACAGCCTCTGAGCCTCGTCACAGATAACCCCTGGCCCTCTTATCTCGGCTCTTCTTTCATTCACGTATTTTCCCCAACTGTTTCATTCCTGGAGAAAGCGAAAGCTCCAAGCAAACACTGGGGAGAACAGGGAGCTCAAAGCTCTCCAAAAGAAACAAGCAAACACAAGACACTTGCAAAGAAAACTCCTAATCCCTTCACCACTGGCTGCAACCTCAGGCCCCAAATCCGACAGTTTCTGAGAACTGCCCTACAGGCCCCCAGTAACCATTTGTCAGGTCAACACGTTTAGATACTTTTAATTGATAGTATCCTTTTGGGATACAATTTAAGCCCTTAAGCAAAGGCAGCTTTCAGAAATCAGCAAGAATACACTTCGTTAATGTAAAACTTGTAGTTTTTTCTTGTTACTGTATTTTACACTTGTATATTATACACCGACATGATGGCTATGGGCACTGGCAGCTAGAAAAGCACAAATCCCTTATGATTAACTCATTAGCCTTTTTTGGTGAAGCTTAAAAACTACAAGTTCTGTGTTATCATTCTTGACCTCAAAATACTAATCAAACTTGGTATTTTTAGTTAACAGTATAAAAATAAAGTTCCCCTGATTTGCTGACATAAAGGCCTATAAGTACAACTAGAAAAACACCACAAGGGGAACAAGCACCACTGGTTTCCATTACGCAAAGCAAACACTAAAAAATACTAACATGTAAATTATACTTCCTATGAGAAACAAGCATAAAATAATGCTTACACTATGACATTTATATTAAATACAGGCAGCTGAAAACAACATTCATCCTGAGGGAAATATGAAAAATGCATCAGTTTGGCAATTCTTAAAATACCAGCAGCTATTTCTGCACAACTTGTGATTCAGTCACTTCATGGAGCAAACCCAAAGCCTCTCAGTGCTTTAAACAAACACTGCATTTCTCCTGGAGGAGTGTCCGAACAGCTAAATAACCTCAAGTTGGTGCAGGAAGGTGGTGACCCTCTCCTGTGGTTTGCAAGGGAAGGGCTGGTTCTGGAGGGCATCCATGGATTATGCCAGAAGTTTAATTCCAGGAAGAGGAGAGTCCAAGTGCCTGAATTACACAATTGCAGCCCAAGCAGCTATTTTCTAAAAAGCAGTAAGAAAGGAACCAATCACCACCTATCCTTGCAACTAATATTTTCTTAAAAATCCAAAATAAAAATCCAAGGATATTTCACTGCCATTTCACATAGAGTAACACTGCTGATCTGAAAAAGAGAGGATACTTAAATATGTTTTCTGAATATGGACCACTCAGACACAACACACGTTCATAAGCCGGTCAAAGACCTATTGAGGTTACAGATAGATAAGACAGTTTTACAGTCACAGCAGAGCAATGAAAACTCCTCCCTATACTGACTCACATTAACATAAAGAACAGTCAACTTTCTGCCAGAGACAAGGAAAGCCAAGAAAGAATTAAGTGAAACTGAAACCATCCAAGACAAAAGAAACTGCCCACCTTCAAAACAGACGCAGAGAAACCCCTCTGGAAGAGGCCCAAAATGGTCCTCGTAATCTTTCTGCGAGAAGAACAAGCCCAGCCAACTTCTCCGCTTGGAAAGAAGTTTGTGTCATACAGACTTAATGTCGAAGATTTCTTGAGAGTAAGAGTAAATCATGAAGACTTGGAAGGGCCTTTGGTAGCCAACGCCCTACTTTTTCGCTAGATATTCCAGTTATGACTGCGAGCAGTCAGGTCACATGCTGTATAAGGCAATAATGAGACTTCTTACAGTAAGGCAGAATGCTCCACAGATTACTCTCTTCTTGGTTTAGAATAGGAGGACCTGGATTTATACGACCAACATGCTGCCTACAACACCAACAGTTGCTGCTTGACTGGCAGATGGAAAGAGAAAAGGCACACAAAAACCTCTGTAACAGTCTCATTCTAGGAAAGAAAAAAAGCATTTCAGAAAAAAATTTCATCTCCCCTTTGACCTTTTATCAGAATTCAGGATTACAAGTGCTCAGGTAGTTCCTGTCCCAACAAGGGCAGGATACTAGAGGTCAGTGGTGCTCTGCAGTGTCTGCACGGTCTGTGGAAAGAGATTCTTACATATAGGAACGTCATGGCCAAACCTGGGCTAAGCAGTTACACGGGTATCACAGTGAACTTCAGGTACAAAACCTCTGGTGTCCCTGGCACCCTCTACATAGCCACCTCTCAGTATAACGTTGCACATGGTAGTCTGAAAAGCTAAGCTTAAATTTCTTGAGATAGCAGAGAAACTACTGGGCAGAACTCTAAATGCTTTGAAATTCTACTACTTACAACTGATTTTCCTAGTGGAATGTTGCACAAAGTTATTCACATTGCTTTTTATTATCCATAAATTTTTATTTTGCTAATTCACCATCTTTTTTTTCCTACAAACATGATGTCTTTCCCATGCTATTTTTTCCCCACATATAAGTGGGACTGCTACTACATTTATATACATAGAACCTCATTATACAGAGAATCACATATTAAAAAGAGGCAAGGTCTAAAAGACATGTTTTGGTGAGGGAGAGTTGCATGTAAATGAACTTAATATTGCACTCGTGCATTAGCTAATGCATCAACCACTCCTGCAAAACCACTTAGCCAAGCTTTGTTTTTTAGAAAAATCTGGACCACTTCAAAACAATATTAGTGCTAAAACTGTCAAGCCATTCCAAATCAAGTTCCACATTACTTCTTTCTGTGCTTAGAAACAGCATTGCTATCATAAAACATTAGTGGTATGTTCAAATACATGAAACTTCTCAAGATGGGAGAATTAAAGACTGAAATTAGACATTATAAGAGGGTGAGCAGATGGAGCCAATCACACTGTTTCTAAAGAGATTCCAACAAAACCTGGAGCAAAGGAGCAGAGTTTTCTTTCTTTAGGGTTTCAGGGAAGATGAGATCCCTCCTCCGGCGATGCCCTGGGCCTGCACAAGTCACTACATGACCCTAAGTGATTTTCCTGCTGGAAAGGCCTGCGCGGCTCTGCTGAGCCCCGGCCACGGGAGGCACGAGGCCAGCGTGGAGGAAGGGGCCCCAGGGCTCCCCCACGGCCCGGCCGAGGGGCTGGCAGGCAGCCAGGGTGCTGCACAGCACGGACAGGACACCGGCCAGCACGGCCACCTGCACCCGGGCTGGGGACGGGGTCACAGCCGGGACTCCCTCTCCGCCGCCATGCACGGCTCCTCCAGCACTTTAATCTCCCTTTTGCTGGGCTGTCAAGGCCAAGTGCAGCAGGGAGGCAACATTCCTACTCTTTTTCCTCAAGCTTTAGGAGATGTGAAATTTGCAGAAGCGCCTTGGTCCTGCTCCAGCACTGCTGCTCTCCTCTTACACAGGCACACAGGGACCAGGGGCTCCCACACGAGCTCCCGGGGATGAAGCAGCAGGGCCTGCCCGAGACTGAGCAGGGACAGGAAGTGCCAAGAGCTGCTCAGAGCCACCCTGTGCCTCTGCCCCACTTCACAGAGGGGGCCAGAGCCCAAAAACCCACCAAAATCAAACACACAAACCAACC